GAGAGGCGGAGCAAGCGTTCTTGTTTAGAGAACTCCTCATCTCCTGCAGATTCCTCAGAAGAAAAAGCCTCTCAAAGATGGTTTCCTTGGCAATCCCCCTCCAATGGCTGCATTTCCCATTACTGGGTTAGGAGCTTTGTTTGTGGCCACGGAATGTGGGCACGTGTATAGGGCCCATGGAAGCAGGCAGGAAGGAAACAGAGCCATGAAATCCCCCTGTCTGCTGTGCACCTCCTGCCAGGGCCCCTGGGGCACCTCTGGCCTGGGCCCCACTCTTCCCCTCCTGCCCATCTTTGCTCCAAGTGGGCTTGCTCCATCCCTTCTTCCCACCCACTGAGATGTTCAGAGGCCATGTTTTAGTCCTAGACCTGCTCTCCATTGGCTGTGTGGCTATGGAAGAGTCACTTGCCCACTCTGGGCCTGGTTTTCCATCTGTGGAGTAAGATAATTGAACCAGATCACTAAGTCCCTCTTTGGAACTAACATTTACTAAACATCACCTGTATTCCAGGGGTCATGCCATGAGCATTCACATAAGCTAATCCTCCCTGGAGGGTGGATGCCGTAATCCCCCTTTTACAGATAATTAAACGGAGGCTTGGACACTAGTGTGCCCATGATGCCATCCTGTGGCTAGGAAGGAGTTGGGTCAGCATTCGAACCTAGCTCTTCTGGCCTCGAGCCCAGTCAGTGCAACCTCCAGCAGGTTGCTTTTTACATTACATGAAATAATATATGCTAAAACATCTAGCACCAAGCCTGGCACATAGTTACTGCTCAGTAGATACACACTTTTTTTCTTCCTCAGGACTTTTCTACCCTGTGGATGGCAGGGGATTCAAGGACAGGGTCCTCGGGTTCCCTAATTTCTGAACAAGGCCCTATGCCAGGAGCATGGCCCCAGCTCTGGGCTGCTTTGATGGTACAACAGGAGACATTTTGGGAAGAAGGAAACAAACGTGGGTGGATTATAGGATGAGAAGTGTGTGCAAGGGCGGGAATCGGTAGGACGGAACAAAGCCTTTTCTCCAGCTATTCGAGGGCAGCGCTCAGTAACCCTGCTTTCAGACTGTGAAGCATAGATCCGATGTCAGTGTGTGTGCACTCACGAGGCACTGCCTGTCTCCATGGAAATAGGAAGACTAGCAGAAAATGAAGTGTCTAAAACTTAGGATGTCTCATATAACCTTGGAACATTGTGTTATAAACAGGACAGAGCCTGGCACAGAAAAACCTTTTGTTTACTCATTCATTGCACAAGTGTTTAGTCAGG